CTGCCCCAGAAGATTTCAGAACACTGCAAACAGCTCCAGAAACCCACCAGGCCCATGGCATCTGCATCCCAAAGGGCAAAGTGCCTAGCTCCAGGTGGTCCAGCCTTGCAAATTGCTCCAATGTAGTCTGCACTTCCCTAGCCCCAGATCACACAGAGCCTGGGCAGCAAGTGAAACACCTTCTTTCCTCTCTCTTTTCCCACCCTTGGACAGATGCCAACTTTCTTAGGACATGAAAGGATGCCCCAATATCAGCAGGAAATAGTCACAGAACAATTATATCGACCCTTATCATTTATTATCAACAAAAAGGAAGGCTCGGATGATAGTGTTAACCCCAACAGCAAGAATAAGACCACTACCACAATATGAGCCAAGTTTGAATCAAACGATTTTTATTGAACTGTACTCAAGAGGGGACCAGCATCTGCCTCCTAAATTGGATTAAAGAGAACAGCCTTGACTCCATCTCTTAGGCCCCTTCTAAGAAGCAAAATCATTTTCACAGAAGGGAGACAATGGAGCAATAAGAAAATATAAAACAGGGGCTGGAGAGATGCCTCAGTGGTTAAGAGCATTGCCTGCTCTTCCAAAGGTCCTGAGTTCAATTCCCAGCAACCACATGGTGGCTCACAACCATCTGTAATGAGGTCTGGTGCCCTCTTCTGGCCTGCAGGCATAGACACAGAACATTGTACACATAATAAATAAATATTTAAAAAAATTTTAAAAAAAAAGAAAATATAAAACATTTTTAAAAACATCATGTGACCACTGACCATGTGATTATGGAGGGATCAAGGAGGGTCATGGAAGGTAAGGATATTCTCAAAAATAAATCAAGGTCAGCCAGGTGGGCAGTGGTGGCACCTGCCTTTAATCCCAGCACTTGGGAGACAAAGGCAGGCAGATCTCTGTGAGTTACGGCCAGCCTGGTCTACAAGAGCTAGTTCCAGGACAGGATCCAAAGCTACAGAGAAACCCTGTCTGGGTGGTGGGAGAGTGGGATTACAATAAGAAGGAATATTTGTGCAATCAAAACACAGACAGTGAGCTGGGCGGTGGTGGCACATGCCTTTAATCCCAGCACTCGGGAGGCAGAAGCAGGTGGATCTCTGTGAGTTCGAAACCAGCCTGGTCTACAAGAGCTAGTTCCAGGACAGGTTCCAAAACCACAGAGAAACCCTGTCTTGAAAAAAAAAAAAAAAAAAAAAAACACACAGACAGTGGAGGAAAAAGACATTATCAATGGGAAGGTTAGCCGAAACCCCTATCCCATACAAATTTCTTTTTAAGAGCCCAGAGCAGGGGAAAGAATGAGCCCAGGAAAAGAGGTACTTCCTCTGACACAGTTGGCTTTTTAGTGCTAAACAGACCCAGAGATTATATTCCACAGTGTTAGTTACAGACAGGATAACCCTGGGTATGTTAAATTCAACTAGAGTGATTAATGAACATTCCTTTCCCCTTCTAATTTTAGCACACCTAATTTCCATTATCAGAACACTTTAAAGACTATTTGACTATGCTGCAGTCTGTGTTGTTATGTTGGGATTGGTCTATTAGAACAGTCCATCCCAAGTGTCCTCTATCCTTCTGGCAACAAGCTATTTGTTCCCCTTTTTGTTCAAACGATGGGCCCTGGTAGTAAAGACAATCTTTTGCACAGCAAGACAATAATAGGATTTCCTATAATTTCTTATTTCCACTGTCAAGATGCATTTTGTATAAGTTGAAAATAAAACAACAAAACTGTTAGCCATAGGACAATTATGATGCAAACTTCAACATCAAGAACACAAAATTATGTTAGACAGTCAAATCTTAGAAAGTCGGATTTTGTTTGTTTTGTTTTATTTTTCGAGACAGGGTTTCTCTGAAACAATCCTGGCTGTCCTGGAACTAGCTCTTGTAGACCAGGCTGGCCTCTGCCTCTGCCTCCCGAGTGCTGGGATTAAAGGCATCTACCACCACTGCCTGGTGAGAAAGTGTGATGTTTGTGTCTTTTTCAGTCACTTTCCACCTTTGGGGGTCAGGCTCCTCTTCTGTGGGTTCCTCAGGTGCCTTCTTGAGGTGTGAGTGATGAACCCAGGTAGAAATACCCGTGACTTTAACAGCAGTAGGAGTCTGGAGAGTCACAATGTAAGGTCCCTCCCATCTAGGTTCAAGCCAGTCAGTTTTGAAGTCACTGACTAAATCAACATCTCCAGACTGGAATCAGGTGGGCAGCACCCATCAGTTTGAGCAGCCTGGACCTGAGGGAGAATCAAGTCCAAAGTTAACTGCAATTCTTTTAAAGACTCAGAAATTGGAGTGGGGCAATCGGATAACAGTCCAACATGTACCCGAAGGACCATGGGAGGTAGACGCCCATAGACTATTTCATATGGAGTGAACTTTTCTCTCATGGGGGATACATCAGACTCTGAGGAAGGATTAAGGCAAGAGGCCCACCCAGTTACCACCCATTTCAAGAGGATATTTAGTTAAAATCTCCTTTAAAGTGCAATTATTCATCCTCTCTATTTTTCCTGTATACATCCTCTGGGGATGATACATACAGCAAAGTTTCCAATTTACATCAAGAGCCTTAGAGAGCATCGAGATAACTTGGCCATGAAGGTCGGGCCATTGTTGGACCCCAGAAATATGGGCAGATCAAATCTTGGAATAATTTTCATTATTAATTTCTTAGCTACCACTTGGGTCATTTCTATTCAGGATGGAAAGGCCTCTACCCAGGCTGTGACAGTATTGACAAAGACCAGCAGATATTTGTAGCTGTACAGTCCTGACTTGACTTCAGTGAAATCCATTTCCCAAAATTCACCAGACACTGTGCTGATTCTGTTGACCTGAGGGAAGCATGTCCTTCTTTGCCTTTATCTGGGCACAGGTCAGGCAATGGTGTGAAATGCTCTGAAGTTTTTCTCGGTGTCCGGCTAGCCAGACATGAGGGCAGATGAATTCTGAGCTCTCAGGTGATAAGGGCAGTTTGAGCCCGATTCCTTATTCATGCAGATTCTTCTTGGCAAGATGCACTACCGTACATTGTGGCTCTCCTGAGCCCCCAAGTCAGAACATGACTTGATCTATGCTGGATCGTGTTCAGGAGCATCTTTGTGGAGTCAGAGTGGGGGCTTATGAACAGCAGATAGTTCCAGAACAGCCTGGGGTTTGGGTTCCCCAAGAGCAGCCTCTTTGGCAATTTGATCTGCATGGTTGTTACCTTGAGTTTGGGAGCTTTTGTCTTTTTGGTGTCCTGGACAGCGAATAACGGCCAGTTCAGTTGGTAGCCGGATGGCCACTAGCAACTAGACAACTTCATATTTATTTTTCGTTTTGTTTTTTAAAGATTTATTTATTATGTATACAACATTCCTCTCATATATGCCTGCATGCCAAAAGAGGGCACCAAATCTTATTATAGATGACTATGAGCCACCATGTGGTTGCTGGGAACTGAACTCAGGACCTCTGGAAAAGCAGTCGGTGCTCTTAACCACTGAGCCATCTCTCCAGCCCCCATATTTATTTTTAATAGTCTTTCCCTCTGTTTATAGATCTGTCCATGAACGTGACCCATGGCAAAAGCATATTGGCTGTCTGTGTAGGTGATCCCTTTTTTCTTCAGCCCATCTTAAAGCCTGTGTCAGAACAATTATTTCTACTCCCTGGTGAGATGGGCCCCTAGGCAAGGCTGGTGTCCAAATGATCCCCTTCTGGTCTGGAACCACCACTGCCCCCACATACCTGGCTCCTTCTTGATCGAAGCTGTTGCCATCCATAAAGAGATCTGCATCTCTGATAGTGAAAGGAATAGCTGTCAGGTCAGGTCACCTGCCCTGGTTGATGTCCAGCATCTCCAGGCAGTCATGGATGGGCTTTTCGGGGTCCTCATCTAGCAGTAGGGTGGTGGGATTAATGGCCAAGTATTTATTTTAAAAAGTCAGTATATTCTTATGTAGAAGAAAGGCTTGGTCCTGGGTCAGGTGGGCGTTAGACATCGAGCATTTGGTGGCATCTCTCAGCAGGACTGCCACAGCATGTGGAGCTATTACAGTTAGAACCTGGGCCAATGTGAACGTGTCTGCTTCTTTTACAAGAATCACAGCTGTGGCTGTGAGGACTCTTAAGCACCGGGGGGCGGGGTCATCCGGAGACTACATAATTCGGTCTCTTTGAGATGTAAGCTATCGGCCTTTGCCAGGGACCCAGGGTCTGAATCAAGATTCCTTTGGCAATGCCCATTCTTTCATAAACATAAAGGGCTTGGAGATATCAAGGAAAGTGATGTGGGGATCTGGCCCAGGACCTCTATTAAGTTCTTAAAGACCCATTCATATTCCTCAGTCCCGTCAAAGGGATGTTGCCCCCAGCCATAGCAGAGTACAGGGGTTTGGCCATTCCAACAAACCTAGGAAGTGCTTCAGTTGTTTTCTGGAGAAGCACTTCCCTTTTTTCGGTGATGAAGACAGTATGGAGAATCTGCTGACGGTCATTCCACGTGGGGAGATAATTGGAAAAGATAGATTAGAGAAATTAACAAATCAGGGCTAGTGCTGAAAGAGGGGCTGGTTCTGGTTCTTCCAGTTGTAGAGATCTGTGGTGGAGAAAGGGACATACAGACAATGATTGTCAGGAATGGCCATAGGAGAGCAAGGACTGAAGGAGGTGCCACCCCAGAACCAGAATCAGAGAAGTCAGGAGGGCAATATGGGACTCCCTGGTGGGTGCGGGGAAGAGAAAGAGCTGAGGTGGCAGGGAACGGCTGCAGGAGAGAAGATAGGCAGAGGTAGGGAAAAACTAGATGGTGGGGGAGGGGTAGGTGCAGACAGGGGCAAAGTGAGGCCTTGGTGGTGGGGACTAGGTGGCTAAGGTGGAGGTAGCGGTGAGAAAGGGAAAAGAAGGTGAAGGTGGTTTTTTGTAGGAGAAGGAATTCTTCCTCCTGTGAGTCCTGCAGAATTGTCTTCAGAGGGAGTTTGTTGTCTCTGCTACAGGCCCTGAAAATGTCCATCTGGTGATAACTGTGCTTAGCCACCTTGGACCATTTTGGACCATACTGGCCTTCATTCAAATTGTTCCAGCCCAAGGTAAGATGTATCCAGTCTGACCTGGGTGGCAGGCTTACAAAGGATGACATTAACCACTTGCCCAGGTGTGGTCGTTTGAATGTAATTGGCCCCCATAATCCCATAATCTGATAATCTCATAGAGAGTGGCACTATTAGAAGGTGTGGCTTTGTTGGAGTGGGTATGGACTTGTTGGAGGAAGTGTGTCACTGTGGGGGTGGGCTTTTGAGGTTTTATATACTCAGGACACCACCCAGTATGTCAATCAACTTCCTGTTGCCTGCAAGATGTAGGACAGTGGCCTATTTCTCCAGCACCATGCCTGCCTTCATGCAGCCATGATCCCCACCATGATAGACTGAACTTCTGAATTGTGAGAGAGCCCCCTCAATTAAATGTTTTCTTTATAAGACTTGCCATGGCCATGGTGTCTCTTCACCGCAATAGTAAACCCTAACAAAGAAACCAGGCTACTGAGAATCAAAAGTGCCCTGGCAGGGCCAGCCAACCCCGAGCATGGGACTCAGTTTTACTGAATGTTCAGAGGCAATTCTTGGTGATAGGATAATCATAATCCTTAACTATAGTGGGGTAAAGTTTATCAAAATTCTTTAGAACACTGGTTAGAGGGCCATTGGGCTTGTTAGTCTTATTACCCACACTGTCCATCAGTTCAGTCACCTAAAGTCCAAGATAAACTAATTAACACAGAAAGTACAAAAGGCAGAAAGAGGACAGTAAAAAATGAAACCAAAGACAAGACCAACAGGACACTGTGGGCACCTCAGCCATGTGTCCCATTTTCTGGAGGCCCCAGTGAGATTCAGACCACCCAATTGAATTCTAAACCCAGACCTTCACTCTAGGACTCCGGGGGTGCTGGGGGTTTGCCTCAGGAGGCACATGCTTTAAGATTCTCCAAGACTTTGGGGCTGCCTTCAGTTAGTAGACTGTAGAAGTGAACTTTCACATTGAGAAAAGCAGGTCTCCTGGTGAGTTATAGTCTGATTTTGTTTTGTGGGATCCCTACATGGGAGGTGGAGGGGTTCAGTGGAACCCCAATATTCTCCTGTCCCATGCCCATGTATCATATCAAAGTGGACCTGGCTACCAAGTCTTCCCAACATCTTAGTCCCTACCTGTTACAGAATATGGCTGGCATATCCATCCTCAACCCTAAAGTTCTCCAACCCAAGGGCTGGGCTACCCTTCCCCAAACTGCCCTTCCCTATATAATCCAGTCACTTTGGCTATGTGGCCCTTTTTAGTACCTTTTTTTGTACCCTTTTGGCCTCTTGGTCTCCTGGTTCTCCCTGCTCCCCTCCACCCTCTCCTCACATGGCCTGTCTCAGGGTCCTGTCCACTCTAGCCTCTCCCAGATGTCCCTGCCTCTGGCTATGCCCTCCTTCACATCCTCAATATCTTCTCCACCATCTAGGAGCAGTCATGTCCTCCATCTTATTTTTTTTTTAAATTCATGGAACAAATAATCAACCTGCATATTATTTAATGATACAAATCATTTCTGAAGGTTCTTTGTCCATAAATTAAAATATGTCCTTCTCATTATTATTAAGTCTATAATTTCTTGTAGATAAGGAGTTGTGGAGTATTGTGTAGAATTATGACCTCCATAAAGTTCTAGAATATCATGACTTTGTTGTTCTAGAATACCATTACCTGTTCCAGCAGGTGATAAGGAGAATGGAGGGAAACGTGATTGAAACAAGGAGTAAGGGGTTAATTCTATGAGCTACAGCTTTAGCAGTGTTTTGTGAACATCTCATAACCTGCTCTGCTTCGGGTGTTTTTTTTTTTTTTATAGAATTTAAGGGAGAGTCTCCAGAAAGCAATTTAAAGAGCAGAATCACATCCTCAACAGTGACAGGCAGATAAGAGTATACCCAGCCAGGTGTGGTGGCACACACCTGAAACCCTAGCACTAGGGAGATAGAAGCAGGCAGTCTCTGAGTTCGAGGCCAGCCTATTCTACAGAGTGAGTTCCAGGACAGCCAAGACTACACAGAGAAACCCTGACTTGGTTGGGTTATTTAAAAAAAAAAAAAAAAAAAAAAAAAAAAAAAAAAAAAGTACCCAATTGATATGGCCCAAAATTTCAAATTTTTCTCTTTTAGTTTAATTACTATGAAAGTTAAACATCCGTTTAAGTATTGACTAAATGAGCAGGAGAGAATGTCATCTACACACTGAAATACCTCAGGAAATTTAATCAACACCAGCTCAGGTGCTATGTCCTACTTGCAATAGTTAGTTCCTACTTTAAATTTCCCCCATATGAAGGGACCACTGATCAATCTATATTGAGTTATTCCTGCTTTGAGGAGAAATAAACAGGAAAAAAAAAACTAAGCTCTAGGGCAGCCAAGCCCTAGCTCTGGCTCCAGCAGCTTAGCCCCAGGCGCCATTCCATAGAACTCAAATGCTCCAGCAGAGGGCGCTCTCTACAGTCAGCTGACTCCAGGCAGCTGAGATGGCCTTGGGGACATTTGCAGCCAGAGGGCTCTAAAGTGCCATCCAGCAGCTTTGGGGTCCATTCTACCTACCCTTCCAAGACCTGCAGAAATATGTTCAACAGAAAGTTCTCTCTCTCTCTCTCTCTCTCTCTCTCTCTCTTTCTCTCTTCTTTTTTCTTTTTTGTGATTGGAGGTTTTGAGACAAGGTTTCTCTGTGTAGCCCTGGCTGTCCTGGAACTCACGTTGTAGACCAGGCTGGCCTTGAACTCTGAGATCCTCTACCTCTGCCTCCCAAGTGCTGGGATGAAAGGTGCATGCCACATTTCCCCCACAACCCAAGCAATACATTACTGTATTCCAGCTTACAAAATAACTGACAGGGATTTTATTATCCCCCTTTGTAGAACTTTTAAGACAATTCTGAAGCCATTTCTGACAACTCTCAGTACTTCACCTCCTCCCCTGGGAACCAAGGACATAACAGCCATGCATGCACATACTAAGATGTTGGGAACTTTCCATCTCCCTGAATAGGGGCGTGAGAACCCTTAGGTGTTGACTCAGTTACTGATGTTTTGACTTAGTCCCTGGGAAGGGGCAAAGTGACCCTCAGAAGTTTCCCTTGACCTCACCTGATCTGGCAACCACTCTCCACTCAATTATTGGTAATAGCCTTTTTGAATAAGCCAATCATAATAATTAAAGAACAACCCCCAGACACCCCTTCCTCCTGTGGTTTTTCCCTTTCAAAATAGCCTGTACCAGACATTCAGGGGCTTCTAGCCTCCCGACTGCTGGAAGACCCTGTCATGGCAGAATTAATAAAATCCTCATGCTTTTACATCAGCTGTGATATGAGAGATGGTCTCTTGGGGCGACTCCTCCTCCTTGGTGATTGGACTCTAGGGTCCAACATTTGGTTCTCTGACTAGGAAAATGAGTCTCTCCCAGACCCACTCTAGATCCAGTTGGAGATATGAATGAGCTCATTTTTATGTCTGTCTGTTTGTGTATTGTGTTTCTGTTTCTGTGTAATTGTGAATCAGTAATTTGAAAATTGTACCTGCACAGGGTCTGTATTGAAACAGGACCAAGAGAGGGGCAGATGTGTCCCAGACCTCTGGCCCTGAGCCCTGAAAGACGTTTCATGGGCATTTGTGGGAGGCGTGATCCTCCATCTGTATTTTGGATCTGTTGCCGCATGGCTTCTGATTTTAAGTCTATGTCTGTCTTTTTGCTCTTGTGTATTTTCAGTTCTGCACCAGAGTGGTGGTGAGAGCGCCAACTTCTGGTTTTGAATTTGTGTCTGTCTCTTTGTATTTTTGTTCTTGTGTATCAGTTTGTCTTTGATAAAATGGGACAACAATTAACTACCCCTTTGACCCTTCTTTAGATCATTGGAAGGAGGTTAAAGATCGAGCTCGTAATCAATCTGTGGAAATCCAAAAGAAATGCTGGCAGGTGTTATGTTCCTCACAATGGCCCACTTTTGAGGTGGGCTGGCCACGGGACGGGACATTTAACTTGGATACTATCTTACAGGTCAAGGAAAAAACCTTCCAAACCTGCCCTCATGGCCACCCAGACCAGGTTCCCTACATCATTACCTGGGAGAGTTTATCCAGAGACCCCCACCGTGGGTCAAGCCATTTGTCCCACCTGTAGGAACTCAGAACCTGGTAACGGCAGCAAGGCCATCATCAGCTCTCCTGATTGTGAAATTGGAGATGGCAGCAAGGCAGCTGCCCCTCCTCCAAGCCTTTTGTCTTCTCTTTCCTGTACAGCAACAACAAAGCCCAGAATCCAGGCACCTCTGATTCTTCCTGATACCCAGCCAAGCTCCTCCAGAATGACAGACTTCTCCCTCCCCAGACACTGAGTGCTGAAGTTTTCAGGGCTAGGGCCCAACCAGCGGGGCTCCTCAGGAATGGGTGTGGAGGAGGGAGAAGAAAAAGGGGAGGGATCTCCCAAACATTCCCCGTTCACTCAGACCCTCAGGCTATGCCTGGACTGTAGAATCTGTTCTGACTACCCACCAGCCCACTTGGAATCTCAATATGGCAGCAGGTAGGGGGTGGCTGACAGTCAAACACCACCAGTCTCTCTATCTCAGGGGGTTGGTTGTAAGGCATCCCACTCATTTGGCCATGGTAAGAGAGGTTCTTCAGGGGCCAGTTAGACCAACAGTTGTGTTTCTTAAGATTTACAGGCGTTTTACTCCCTTTGACCCAGCCTCTATAGGCAGCAGGCAGCGGGAGCTATGCCCCTCATAGAGCAGTCAGCACCAGAGATAAGGGGAAAGTTACAGTGGTTAGATTTAAATGAAGGGAGTAAGTGTTTCAGAAGCAGGAGGCAGAGAAAGTGAAAAGAAAGTGAGGGAGGCAGGAAGCAAAAGAAAGAGAACCAGAGGGATCATAAGCAAGAAAGAAATCTGTAAAGAATTTTGGCATCAGTGGTAGTAGAAAAAGAAGAGAAAAAATTAGTCTGATAGGGAGGCGAAAGAAGACAGCAGCTTCAAAGACTGCGCGCCTCAGCCCCTGACCTGG